ACATGAACTGAGCGCCGACCCTTCAGGAGGCGGAGCCGGTGCTTAACCAAATTTAATAATAATTGTGTGTGTGAACCACCATATTGGGGATCACATTTAATTCACTTTGGACCATTGGAGTCTCGAACCGCACACCACAAAAAGACACAGCCCGGAGGCTCAGTAGGTCGAGCTGCGGGCTGTGTTTTTGTGGTCTGTGGTTCAAAGCACCGATGGTGTAAAGTGAATGAAATGGTTTGTGTGTGATGGTGGGTTATCCTCAGGTGTCCTGGGGCAGGGGAGTGGTCAGGTCTGCTGGATCTTCTCTGGCTTGAACCTCTTCATTATGGGATTGTAAGCTATAGAGCGCTTCTTCTTAATAATTAAAGAACATATAATGTAAAGATAAAACATTCTGTAGAAAGCTAGATCGGCTAGGCGAGGTAGCGTCTATTTTGACGTTGTACAGCTGAAACTGTACTCGCTGTGTACAGCTGACATTGTACACAGTGTGTACAGTGAGTACAGTGTCAGCTGGTGTTAGACAGTACTGTACACTGCCGAATCCTGAGACCATAACCTTGTTTACACTTGCCCAATCTACACTAAATGGTGTAGACGCCGGGCACATCAATATCTCTTCATTGTGTCATAAACTCCACAGGGACATTGGGCTGCTACTGAGTCTGGCCCGAGTGTGTGGCTGCTGGTCTCTCACCGACGCCTACACCGCCACGACAAGTACGGTAAGAACCCGAGAAATAGCATGGGACCAGATGCTCGAGGAGGTGGAGGAGCGGAGCGTGGACCCCGCAGCAAGGAAGGATATTGTATACAACAGGAGTCAGAAAATGAGCTGGAGATCCTACCCACCGTATCTGGTCCTCTGCGTGCTCGCCATCTTCTCCGTCTCCCTCGCCTACCACGCCTTCAACACCTACATCCTCTTTAATGATGACAGGTAGGTGTAGGCGGGGAGTTGGAGGTGTAGGGGGCAGGTGACGGTAATGGTAAGTGTCTTCAAGATGGGGAAGTGTGTCAAGCAGGAGTTGTTGTGACCGCCTTGTGAAGCGTGTCATGTGCAGTGTGTCAAGTATTGGTGTCAAGCATGAGCAGTGTGTCAAGCAGCGGCTGCGGTGTTTTTAAGTAATGGTAAATCAAGAGACTGTGTATATTGACGTTATCACGACTTTTGACAGGAATGTTGAAGTATATGTTATCGGAGGATAAATATTGAATTATATTAGGCATGGTTAAAGGCATAAAACACTCGTGGTGACAGAGTAGTGTGACTACCTAGGCTGCTGGGCTCTCAACCATACTCTTGGTAGGGAAATGGAGAAGAGCTTTTCCTTGGACGTGTATAAGCTGTGTGGTGTTTGAAGAGGATCCCGAGAAGCTCGTCCCTGAGCAGGATCAAATGCTGAGTCGGGCACTCAGCCTTTTGTTTGCTTTTGTGTGCATGAAAACACTGCAGGTGCCTCTTCTGTCTGCTGTTGTAACCCTGATATTCTGATCCTTGTCAAGGTTCTCAAGAGGCTATAACACTGATTTTGGGCATGTTAGATTTAGTATCTTGAACGACGGGCAAGATGCCTTTTACGAAACCCTTCAAAAAATCCTAGACAACTATATAGTCAGTTAACCACTCACAAGAGTACGAACGCAGGCGCAGTTCACTAATCTCAGGTCAACGTGTCGAATAGTCGTTAAGCGTCACTTATAACATAATATCGATCAAGAGTTACAGCTCTTTAGTGTTACAAAGGCGGCAACAAGGTGGCTGTATGCAGCTGATTTTGACAAATATGTTCTCTTCTATGCCTGACAGCTAAAGCATGTAAGTTAACGCCAGTTCTAAGTTGATTCGCTTGTATATAGACGAGTTTTATTCGGCTTTGACAGTGACAGATCGAGAGACTTGTATGGTAGTCGGGTCAATATCCCGCCAACTGTGCGTGTTACCACCTGGACGCTTAGTGAACTTAGTGAACAAGAAATTATATTTAATTCATCTTAATTCTTAAGCGTTATCTTGTGTGTAAGGTTCGACGCAGGCATATACACAAACATATATACACGCAGTTTTATCTATATGAAGGCACTAAAATACACACAAACACATATATATGTACAGAAACACATATACATAAATAAAAATAAGCTCAAATTGAGTTTTCATGCATATAATGTTCTCTCTACAGTCTAATCACACACACACACACACTTAGGGGGCCGGTGGCTGACTGGACAGCACGCTGTACGCGTGATCCTGTGGTCCCGGGTTCGATCCCCGGCGCCAGCGAGAAACAATAGGCTGAGTTTCTTTCACCCTGATGCCCCTGTTACCTAGCAGTAAATAGGTACCTGGGAGTTAGACAGCTGCTACGAGCTGCTTCCTGGGGATGTGTGTGTGTGCGCGCATGTTGTAGAGAGACATATATGTAGTAGAAATAATAAAGGAAAAAAATATATTTCGAAGAATCAAACATTGTAAGAATATTTCTGTAACTTTTCTTGACTATCCAAGTGTTCAATTTCCACCATGTATTGTATCATTGGTCGCTCCCAGATAACGTAGTGTGCACTGATCCACTGGGCTTATACCTCTCCCCCGGCACTTTTTCTCTCCTTTGATCGAACTTATGAAATTTTCCCTCGTAGTTCATGCGTCTTAATCCGGGACTTGTCTGATAGCAAACTTCTGGATTATTACATGTTAGTGCGAGCATTGCTAGGTGGGATTCTTTGCTAGTATAGTACACATAATCTTACATATATGGTACACAGAACACACACTTTGGACGTAGTCCTGAATTGTGGCCAAGATGTATACCAAACATTGCATGCCCTGCTGATGTTAACCGATTTATGTTAGCGTGTTTGTACTTGTGTACCCAAGATTGACAACGGCAGTGTGTTCTTGCTCATGGTTCTTCATAATGGTGTAGTGACAATGTTGACAGTGCCAGTGTGTGTGTGTATGTATTCACCTAGTTGTCCTTGCGGGGGTTGAGCTCTGCTCTTTCGGCCCGCCTCTCAACTATCAATCAACTGCTACTAACTACTATTTTTTCCGCACCACACACACACACACACACACACACACACACACACACACACACACACACACACACACACACACACACACACACACCCAGGAAGCAGCCCGTGACAGCTGACTAACTCCCAGGTACCTATTTACTGCTAGGTAACAGAGGCATTCAGGGTGAAAGAAATTCTGCCCATTGTTTCCCCCTGGCGTCCGGAATCGAACCCGGGACCACAGAATGACGGTCCAGCGTGCTGTCCGCCCCCCGAGGCGTGTGTGTGTGTGTGTGTGTGTGTGTGTGTGTGTGTGTGTGTGTGTGTGTGTGTGTGTGTGTGTGTGTGTGTGCTTATGGTTAACCTTGGTAGTGTAGCGTGTACCCCAGACTGGCAAGGGCAGTATATACCCCCATGGTGATGTAGTGTGAACTGGAACACAGTAAAGACCGAGCGGTATTTATTGTTGCTCGGAGTATCGCAGAGCGTGGTGTTTCCATGGGTAAGTAATATATGTGAAGTGTGTCTGCCTGGCAGGCAAATCGAGGACTGGTCTCGGGGCCTCCAGAACATTTCCACCCTCCAAGCCTTCACCATTTACAATCTCCGTCTCTGAACACTAAAGAGAATATTTGCTCTAGAGACTCGCGGCGCTTCATCATCGTCGATAGTCACAAGGAATATTTCCACTGGAGTTTTGGAATCTCTGTCAGTAGAGGAAGGGAGATGATTCTTCCACTCCAGATCCTCTCCTCTGAATGGCACGGGTTGAGTATGTGAGAGGTTGGGTGTATGTATGTATATATATACATACACACACACACACACACACACACACACGCGTGTATGTGTGTATTTACAATTTATATTTACTATTTGTATCCTCAGAATCGAGCTATTAGCTCTGGGACTCCGCGTTTCAAACCAATTTATTTTTCCTCTATTATTTCTACTACATATATTTCTCTCTAATACACTTCCCCCAGGAAGCAACCCGTAGCAGCTGTCTAATTCCCAGGTACCTCTTTACTGCTAGGTAAAGAGGGGTATCAGATTGAAAGAAACTAGGCCCATCTGTTTCTGCCTCTGCCCGAGATCGAAACCGGGCCCTTAGGACTACGAGCTCATAGCACTGTCCACTCAGCCGCGAGGCCTCCTGTGGTGTGTGTGTGTGTGTGTGTGTGTGTGTGTGTGTGTGTGTGTGTGTGTGTGTGTGTGTGTGTGTGTGTGTGTGTGGGTGGAGAAGGGGGGGAAGGGGCCGCGTGGATGCAGATTGGCTGTAGCTTGATGAATGGGGCTTTGAATAAGACACAGTTAGCTGAAAACTCGTGGGACAATTTCGCCATGGTCTGATGGAAGGTGTATATACATATACATACATACATACACACACATACACATATATATATATGTAAACGATGATGTACTACCATCCACAGTAGCTTTCTACATGAGAGGCTGAGAGGATAATATAGCGTAGGAAGTCTTAGAGTGCCAGCTGTGAACAGTGAGCTCATCTTCACTCCATGGCACCATGTACGGTATTATTGGCCCTACTGAAGTGAACATGGTCACCACACCTCCACTTGGTGACTCACCACTAAATGGAGGATGGTCACCACAAATTTTCCAGCACTCTCACTATCGTTTTATAAGGTCTCTACTCTAGGATTCACCACACGAAGTTGATCACCAAGCTCACCACCCAGCCCGTCCTCTCCAGGGTCCACAACGTCACTAAACTGATGTACTAAATTGCCCGAACCTAACTTAACCGAGGACCCACGGATAGAAAACGGGACATCACATCAATTTGTCGAGGCGATAAAACGTTTAGTACATCACTTTTTGGTCTTAGGGGGGAGTTATCCATCATAATGCCAGCTAAGTACTACTGCTTGAGCGGTCGGGCTGCGCCACCAGCATCACCACTGTGGATACAAAGTGTACTACCATCAGCTTTACCAACACTAAGGTCAAGGTTCACTACCAGCTTCACCACCACAGAGATCACAATCACATTCTGTACCAGCTTCACCACCACAGAGATCACTATCACCCTCTGTACCAGCTTCACCACCACAGAGGTCACTATCACCCTCTGTACCAGCTTCACCACCACAGAGGTCACTATCACCCTCTGTACCAGCTTCACCACCACAGAGATCACTATCACCCTCTGTACCAGCTTCACCACCACAGAGGTCACTATCACCTTCTGTACCAGCTTCACCACCACAGAGATCACTATCACCCTCTGTACCAGCTTCACCACCACAGAGATCACTATCACCTTCTGTACCAGCTTCACCACCACAGAGATCACTATCACCCTCTGTACCAGCTTCACCACCACAGAGATCACTATCACCTTCTGTACCAGCTTCACCACCGCAGAGATCACAATCACCCTTAAGCTGAGGGAGTTCTAATAGTGACCACAAAGCTTACCTCCTTCCCGCAGACTTTCCTTGTCGCAAATGCTGAGCAGTCTGCCTTGGTTGGGCAGCCTCGTCGTCCCGTGGTGCTCAGGCGTCCTCACCCTCGTCAGAGCCGGTGAGTACTACAGTTGTCGTCGCGACTTAAATACTCGGCTTTTATTCTGAGATTTCTGGACAAAATGTGGTGTGAGAACGTAATGTTTTCCTACGCTCGTTCAGCGTTAATCTTGCGTTTCATGTGTGTAAGTAATTTTATCATTCCATCCAGTCTCTGTCCTCGTATATCTTTCTATTCTACTAATAATAAGACTTGTTTGTTTCCATTCATTAATTATCGATATTTTTTCAAGTTGTTATTTAAATTTCTCGTTTCTAATGTGGGATCTTTAGGTTAAAAGATGCCTCTTTATCGGGTGTGTCAAGTGGCTTTTTAGACGAACACTCCACCAGTCACTATGATATTCCACGTCTTGTCTGATGTACTTGCACAAACTTTGGCTGCACTAGACCTCCGTCATCCGATATTAAGACGAAAACACACAAATACACAAGCGAAAGAAACACACATACACGTTCAGAATGTTAGTTTCTAAATTTAATACAAGACACTTGTCTATAGCTTCAATGCTTTGGTCACATGTCTACGAATGTTTTTCAGATACGTCGTCTACAGATACTTGCTTACAGGAAGGCTTCCTTTGGCCAAAACTATATTGAAATTGGCTTGTTATTAAAGGACTATTCTATCTAACATGACCACTATATGGTGGTCATGTTGATTGTACTACTACTATCATCACATTCACTCTTCACGTCAACGAAAATGCTGCCTAAATATTTATTTTCATGCCCTCTTCCTTCTACTCCATCAGCAAAACTTAAACATTATGATGCTTCCCTTTCGCACACATGGAATTTATGATAACTTGCACTAATGGTGATTTATATTCCCCCGCCGCTCGTCCCTGTGATCCCTCCCTCTCTCCAGGTGGAAGGATCTACAGTGCGCTGCGCCTCTAGTGAGAACTTACTAGTAAATGTGTTTTAGAACAACGAGATATCACTAAATCCCACAGCATTTTAGGAGCCGTTTCTCATATACTCTTAAGTAACATATTTATTGAATTCAGATTTTTTTCATGTTGGGATTTAGGCCTCGGACAAAGAACTGGGACCAGTCACGTTATCCAGTACATTATTTTAGACGAAACACGAGTTAAAATTAGTGTTGGGTGTACAGGGGCGAGGTGTTTTGGAGGAACGTTCCGTAAGCCGTCCCCATCCTGTCCAGGAATCGAACCCAAGTCCTCTCAATTGTGAGGCGTTTGCATTTGACAACTCATCCTCACGCTACGCGTTCAAGCGGCCGCCGTCCAGAAAAACATGTTCAACAATTTTAACTTACAGTGTAATGAAAAAAAATAAGTTTCTCCTGTTTAAATTAATATTATCGTATATTATAATTAGTCTATAGTTATGGAGGGTTAGTTATTATAGTCTATAGGGGGGACGCTAAGCCCCGAAATCATCTCAAGATAACCTCAAGATAACCTCAAGATATGCGTAATTAGGTTATGTTACGTAATTTGGTTCTGTTGGCAATTATTTGTATTCAAACCGACCTCCGACCAGGTTACTTAAAGCGCCAGCCTCCCCTCCTCTCCCCCAGAACATCCGTAAATTTTAACATACTGTTTATTAAAAACTGGCTTGTACCCATATATAAGTTAATATTATTATATATTTAATTTCTATGTATAGGGAGGCATAGGTTAGGTTAGGTGTTTAGGTTTTGCTAATTATTTGTATTTGTAGTACGTGGGTAAAGCATTTGCAGAGTGGCGATGCGAACGGAGGTTGTCAGTAAATCATTCCTCGATAAATATTTGTACGTCAATTGTCAGTCGCGTGTAAACCGATTTTAAATCACAAACAAGGGATTTGGCGGCTGGATTAAAGAGTATTTGGCCTCTGTTGATGAGGACGGGCTGTTGCATTTAAATGTGAATGAAGCATTTATATATGATTTGAACAGAGGATCAACATCTGTTCCAGAGGATCTTCCTCTGTTCCTCTGTTCCCCAGCATCAACCTACCCTCGCTTTGCACCCTGGTGAGGCCACTTCAGACCAGGCTGACACCAGAGCGCAACTCCATAGACTCCTGAGACTGATGGATGCCTACTGTCTGCGAAGCACTGTTAGAAAACTGTCTGAACGTCATCAGTTGTGAGTAAAGCGTTTATCATTCATAAATATGACATGCAGAAGGGATTAATAAGCATTTGGTGTTTGTCGTTGTGGACGGGCTGAGTGACTCCGGCCTCCCCCCCCTCCCCCCGTCATCAACCAAATGCTCGCTAATCCAGCCGCCAGAACCCCCTGGTTTATGCATGAGAAACGGGTTACACACAACTGATGCCATTCAAACATCTCTCGAATAGTGCTCAGCTGACGATCTCTGTTCGAACTGCAACTCTGTAAATGCTTCACCCACGATCTTAAAATACAAATAATCGCCACAGAACCTAAACACCTAAGCAAACCTACGCCCAACTATATATTAAACTTTAACAAAATAATATTGATTTATATACGATAATAAACCTCTTTATAATCCACAAAACGTTAAAATAGATGAGAGCGTCTTGGGGAACGGCCGCCGTTTTAACGAGCCTAGCCTGAGGACAGGCTACATAAAAAGGTACCCGGATTATATGGAACCATAACCATTTTACAAATTATAAAAGTGAGATGTTACAAAACCCTTTTTTATATTAACTTTGAAAATATCTCGCTCCTCACATGATAATGAATGCGACATATAATGACTTTAATGAGCCATTTTGACTCAGCTGAGCGTCATTTCTTAGCTTGTCAGATTGTTAACTATTGCGAAAAGGTAAAAAGCACACACGACACTGACAGGCACCTTCTCCACGCGCCACCTACCTCGAGTGCGCCTCCACAGGGAAAGCCTCAGTGTTCCTGGACAAGTGGCGGGCTGTGGAGCACCGTCTGAGGATCGTGATGACCTGCCGGGCTAAGTCCCACCTCTCCCTCATCGTCTTGGGCGCCTATGTGGTGATGGCGGTCGCTTCCTTGGGCTTGCTCACCTACCAGTACTTCCATCAGTCCAACTCCTCCGTCTACTACGGTGGGTGGGCCTCAGTGTAGCCACTTCCAACCCGTCCTCGACTCAAGTCCATTACAACCAGCGGTCGACCCCACAGACGCATTCATAAATTTTAACATGCTGTTCATTCAAAACAGGAATTTTCTCAAGTATAAATTAATATTATAATATATTAGCATATTGTGCATATATAGGCATAGGTTAGGTTAGGTTAGGTTAGGTGTTTAGGTTCTGTTGGCGATTATTTGTATTTGTAGTACGTGGGTGAAGCATTTATAGCGTTGTGATTCGAACAAAATTCGTCAGTGAAACACTTGTTCCGGATATGTTCTAACGTCAGCAGTTGTGAGTCGTGTGTAAACCGCTTTTCATTCATAAACAGGGGGTTTGGCGGGTGCATGGAATCACTTTTGGATCTTTGTTTGGAGGACGGGCTGTCTGGTAAGGGGTTTGGTTGAATGAGCTTCAGGGCTTTCGTCGACTTAGAGATTGAAGTCTATGACTGAATGAATTTCAAAGTTTAATTCATCAGATTGTCCTCATAAAATAAACAAATTCCAACTGCTCGTTAATCCAGCCGCCAAACCCCTTGTTTTTAAATTAAATACACTTTACACACCATTCAACTAATGGCGTTCAAACCCTTTTCGAAGAGCGCTTTGCTCACATGCTCTGTTCGAACCCTGTTCCTGTAAATGGTTCACCCACGTCACCCCGTCCTCCTGCCCGCCGTCATCAACAAAGGCCAAATAGCTGTTAAGGCCACCCAAACCCCCTGTTGATGAATGGAAAACACTTAACACACACGACTCACGATTGATACTTTTTCGTACGTACTTTTTTACGTACTTTTCTCGACCAGTCATTCGTTAACAGCCTCTGCTCGAGTCGCACGTACTGCAAATACCAATAATGGCCAACAGAACCTAACCAAATGACCTAAGTTATGACAAATTGTTCAGCACATTCTAGTATGTAATAACATTGCATTGTATATGAGAAAATACAAATGTATTGGCAGAATGACAGGTTCAGTCCCCAAAGTTCCCTCACTGAGTGTAACACATGACAGGTTCAGTCCCCAATGTGCTCTCACTGAGTGTAACACATGACAGGTTCAGTCCCCAATGTCTCCCTTACTGAGAGTAATACCACGACAGGCAACCTGGTGGAGGCCCCGTGGTCGCTGGTGCTGCACGTGGTTCAACACGCCACCGTGCTCCTGACGTGGGCCGGTCTGCTGGTGCCCGAGGCCTTCCTCATCCTCGCTGCCCACCACCTCTCCCTCTACTACAAGACCCTCAACGCTGCCCTCGACGACATCTTTTACAAGTGGGCTCAAGACAGGTCTCAGCACTCGGCACCATCTTACGGGCTCAAGATTAAATACGTAAGATTATAAACTAGGCTTATAATCTATTTTCTACTTAAACGATAATTTGCATGTCAAAAAGGTAAAAGAATAATAATAATAGTTTATAATTCAGTTTGTAGGGGGACAAAAAGCCTGTTTATATACATTATTAAGGCTTGAATTTAGGTCACCACCCACCTCACTTGGTCGAACTAAGCGAAGATACTTTATCCTTACTCCTGGAGTATGTTTGTAACCCAAATAGGTGTGGATAACATTATACACAATTCCAGAGTATTTTTGTACCAGGAAAAGGCACTTCCTGTACGTGGAATTGCTGGCGTCCCTCCAGAGGGTGCTAAACCCTCTCTTCAATCATGCTCTTATTACTCCCAGACCTCTGGCGGGTGTCCAGCTCCATGTGTTAGTACCTCACGCTCTCTACTGGGCTGTGCTGCCTCTCACCACACCTCTGAGGGCTTACTCCTGGGCTGTGCTCCGACCTTATACAGTTTTGTACACTCATAAGTCATTATACTTCTCACACTTTGTCTGTCTGTCTGTCTGTCTGTCTGTCTGTCTGTCTGTCTGTCTGTCTGTCTGTCTGTCTGTCTGTCTCTCTCTTTGTATATATATATATATATATATATATATATATATATATATATATATATATATATATATATATATATATATATATATATATGTATATGTATATATATATGTACAAATACAAATAAAGTAAAGTATAACATAATATAATACAACCCAAATTAAAAAAAAATGAAATAATGCCTTATGACGAGTACTTGAATTTTCAATACAAGCAACACTAATAAAAAGGTTATTACCTGAAATCCAGGTAAGGACTAGAATTTAAGTGTCACATTTCTGGAGTTATGTTTTCTTTTCCCTTTCATCTCTGAATTAAAAAAAAAATAACTTTTTCAATCCCATGGATTGGTTTCATTATATTTTTTAAAGCCTATTAAGGGCTTAAATGTGTCTATTCCAAGAGAGAGAGAGAGAGAGAGGTTTGGCCACACCGAAGCCAAGGTGTGCCCACTCCCAGGGCGAGCTCTGATATTGCTTCACCCTTCCAGGGAGAAGAATGCAGACGCATAATTTAAGTATTCCTCGCTCTTTATTGAGAAGCCTTTACGACACGGAGTCTTGATCAGTACAACACTGCCTCCAGCACTGACCGCGCCGCACAATTTTGCCAGCCACCGTCACAATCCACCAGTTTATCCACTGTAAATTCTAGTACCTCCATGTCGAGTTAATTACGGAATTTAAGTCTCTATATCTTGGCTATGTGTCACCAGATTGGCACCGAGCAGCACCAGCGTCCAGAGAGCCACCAGTGCCACTTGAAGAAGCTACGAGAGGTGTGGAGTCTGTACGATGAGGTAGACGAGGTCCTGGCACACCTCAACAAGGTCTTCTCTCCCTTGGTGCTGATGAACTTCGCGGCGTATACTGTCATGATCTGCACGCTCCTCATTCCCGTGCTGAAGGTAGGACGCGATATCAACTTCCACGACCATTGCAAGATGTTAAGTTTATATGTTATGCGAGACGTTATGTTATATTGGCAGAGTGACACCCGAGTTTCGTACTGGGTCGGCGTTTAAGCCGCTGGCACAGGTTACATTCTTCTTCATCTCCCGGTTCCTTGTCTCTATATTCATTCCAAGTCATACTGGCTTACCACTTACTCCTCATAATTACATTCTCTTGCTTTAAGCTCATACTCAACTGACTTTTTTTACAGACCCGAAAAATCCTCGCCAGCATCGGATTCCTCGGAAACGCTCTTTTTTACCTGGTTCGAACTCCTGTTCTCTTCTTGGGTCAAGCTTGTGTTCACGACCAGGCCAGCAGCACCAAGGTGGTGGTGAGTAAAGTGTGTGTGTATAGTGCCAGGTGGATCCTGGTGGATCCTAGTGGATCCTGGTGGATCCTAGTGGCTCTTGGTGGATTATACTGTATCATGTTTTTACCAAGATCTATCCCCATGTACACTTGGGTGGGTGTTCAAGGAGAGTGGGATGTACTGGCTTCAATATTAGCAGAAGCTGAAGGTCAGGTAAGGTAATTAAGAGATAAAAGCGGTAAGTTTTTAGTGAAAAATTAGACGTGTTGACGGGTCACTGATGGTTCTTGTGGGCCAAACTGAATCCGGAGGATTTTATTTACAGTGAGTCGTTCCTTGGGAAATCAGCTGGAGCATAAGTGCAATGTGTTAAAAATATAGTCTGCTTACAGTAGACAAGTCATGATAGATTCCTATATCGTTTAGTGGGTTCTAGTGGTCTCTAATGCTCTAATGTGGTGTCAACGTTTTTTTTTAGGTCCTGATAAGTTTTGATAAATTCTAATGCATCTTTTGATTTATATATTTCCAAAAATATTTTTCCTCTACTTAATTTCCCTCAACTGGTAACATATTTTCCTTATGTGCTATATTTTTTCCATATCATTCTTTGTAGCATTACATTTTTATGAGTCACTTTTCCTCAGTTCTTTCCTCTGATTCCACTCATCTGTAAGCCGGCACTCTGACACTCATCTCTCTCCTCTGTCTCTCCCCCTGCAGGTAAGTCGCGGTCACGAGCGTCTAGCTATGTCAGGGCTCTACCTGACGGAGCTCGAAGCCTTCATCGCCCGCCTTTCTGCCAGCACCAGCGGCCAGGGGATCAGCGCCTGGGGGTTCTTCTGCGTCAAGAGAGGGACCATGCTTACCTTCATCTCTATGCTGGCGTCCTATGTGGTGGTCATGCTGGAATCTTGAGGCAGGAGGGAGAAGAGGAGTAGGATGATAAGAAGGCAAATGAGCGGGGCAATAAGGGAATGACTGAAGCACTGAGGATAAAGAGGGAGGACAATATTAGGAGATTTGCCATTCGAAATAATCAAAGGAGTGACATGGACTGAATTTAAGACTCAGATAGCAACTGTAACCATAAAGATAATAAAAATGACCACGTACTACGTCCATCATCAAGAACGACCAGGTACTGCGACCATCAACAGGAACGACCACGTTCTTCGACTATCAACAAGAACGACCACGTACTACGACCATCAACAAGACCACGTATTACGTCCATCAACAGGAACGACCACGTACTACGACCACCAACAAGAACATGTCTGTGAAAAGCTTAAACATAATTTACTAATCCTCTTTTAAATGGCTTTAAAAATGCAAGCGTTTGAATATCTTACGTCTCTTGTGCCTGTTACTTTAGTTACCACAAGCTGGTACTGAAAATTTACTGTGCAGTTATCTGTAACAAATTCGATCTTATCTTCACCTGTATATCATTAAAAGATACGGAAACTAATTAATTACCATTGCCATTAACCATTCAGTTACAAACAATGACTTAGCTGCATGTTATAGCCGTCTTTTCATTACCATCTTAGGAAAAATAGCGTGTTTGTGTTTTGATGGGTTACCCACCCATTAGGTGGGTAATATTAATCAAATTATTACACTCTGTAACCTGTACGAATAGAAAAACAGTGGTGGTGCCACGCTATCATTGAAATTCCAGATGGGCACAGTCGTAGAGATTGCCAAGATCGGCGGCAAGTGGGTACCAACTCTGTTGTATGGAATAGTTTTATGTGTAATGCTGCCGGGTATGTATGCACAGTTGTCTATAGCGCATCGAACGCTTATTACCAAGGATTTTAGACAAATGTTTCCTGCAAAGTCTTTTAAACAGGAATGAATTAAACAAGAACAAGAATAAACTAAATATTTACCCATAATCAATACAGAATAGTATATTGACACTCAGATTATATTTTTTAAAAAATAAAATAAGATTATTATTAATAGCAATTATTAGGTAGTCAACAGGTAGTTAATAATCTAGTGTACCTTGAGGCAGAACACGTGTTTTGAATGTTGTTACACCAAACTAACATTTTATATATATATATATATATATATATTGTCAGCAATGCATATAACTAACATCACATTTTTCAGTAACTAAATGTTCAAATTCTATGGCAAGGAATAAAATGAAATATCAGAAGAAAAGCCCTTCAACATTTGTAATTCTTAAGCTACTTAAGATTAACTTAAGATTAACTTAACTCAAGTGTCGAAACGTCTCTCTTTAATGATAACAAGTTATACCTCTAGTTTGTCAGTCTATTCTTGAGGGAAGGAACTCAATAAATGCTTTGTGATATTTGTGAAATACAAATAGATCAGCCGGATAATCTTCGTGTTAATGAGTGTGGATGCAAGATATTGAGTAGGAGGATTTAAATCTCCTTCACCCCTAGATGTATGAACATAATCTCGAATTTTATTTAACAAACTAGTTGTGAATAATTCTTGAAACACCCTATTCACCCAGTCAATCCCCATAAGAACCGTGGGCGCGTATGTTTGTAATAAGGCAACACAAGATCATAAGAAGCGATATTATTTTATTTTTAATTTCTGTCTTGATGAAACAATGTGTTATTTCTTGCATATCACAGAACTACATGAAATTTCTTTCGGCATCTCTCTCTAGGATATTATTAGATGTGTTGGATGTGTTGGTTGTGGTTGTAGACCTTGACGATGGTCTCTGCGAAGTTGGGGATCTCGTGGAAGACTCGTTCGTCAGGGACGCGACGGTCCAGTGGGTACCCATGGGGCTTCCTGTCTGGGTAGACTCCCTTGTAGCCGTAGTGGTGGAATTGTTTCAGCGTCTCGAAGTTATTTCCGGCCGTGTCTTTCGTAAAATCGGTCACAGCCACCACAAGCTTGAACTCCATACCAGCCTCGTTGCCCTTGGGTATGAGCAGCCTGTTGGGCAGCCCAGTGGCGCTCACGAACTGCTCAAGGTGCAACTCGGTACCTCCAGTGAGGGCTGCCTCAGTCATGTCTTGTAAGGTCTTGATGCTGGGCACGTCAGGCACCGTCACCGACGACTCAACAGACTTCCTGACGATGTGATTGTTGCCAGGTGTCACTGCAAATTAATGATAGCAATTTACTGATTAAGAATGGCTAATAATAGAGTGAAGGTTTGTAAAGTAATTATTCTGTAAGAATTTGCATGATCATGCTTATGTATGTCGAATTTCTATATACTTTTTGTACCAGAAGGTAACATTTACAATTCCAGTGAAATACGATAATGAATAATACTTACACGATGCCTTAAACTTGTCGAGCTCAATGGCGTGCCAGCGGCCCTCATTGAATGGGAAGATGACTCCGTTACTGTCACGGAGTGGCCAGGCGAAGATGCGGATTGTGGCCAAAACTTCAGCATCATTGTTGTTCATTATGTCAATATTGAAGGAGAAGTCTTTGTGCATCAGACGCGGCATAAATGTGCTAATATCTACATTTTCAACTTCATCTTTGTCGTCCACAGCATTGACAAGGCTGTATTCATAGTCTTCAAGGTAAGTCTCCAGCGTACCATCAATGTTAATGCTGTTGATGGCAACGCCTTGGAACTCAAGCTCCTCCTTGTTATAAGGTGGAAGACGGTCCTTGTGCTTCCTGAAGAGGTCGTCGATGTACTTGTGTAGCTGGTAGAAGGCTGGGTCGCGGGTGGCGGTCTCGTAATGCTCCAGGACGCTGGGAGCCTCATGGTACTTGTCATGGGGGTCGCCCTGGTGGCCAAGCAAAACTTGACCCAAGTTGTTGAGGGAGCCATAGTAGTCAGCATTGGGGCTGTACATAGAGGACTCAATAATGTTGCCAAGGATGTCAATACCTTGTTCATTCATAATATCGACTTTGGATCCGTCCTTGTCAGTGATGTAGCCGTGGGCGATGGCATCTCGAATGCGTTGGTCCATCATCATCAAATCATACACCTCAGCAACGTTGTCCACATCCTGGATGTGAACATCATCGGGTCGGACCGGGAATCTGTGGCCATATTTGTAAGAAGTGTGTGGATGGAATCCTTCATGGAGTGTCTTATCCCAATGAAGTTTCTCAACAACGTGGAGATGGTTGGAGAGACGCTCAGCATCGAAGCGGTTGTTGAGTTGGTGATGGACCCAGAAAAAGGTCTCTCCCTTGCGTTCAATATGAGAACCGAAGGTGTCATTCCACCAGAAGGGGTAGTCTATGTGCCAGTTGAAGTAGTGGGTGCTGAGTCCGATGTCTTCAGTGAAGTAAGCAACTCGATACTCTGGGTTGTTCTGGGTGCCTGTGAAGTCCATCGGGAATTTACCAGCCTTGGCAGTCATCTTGGCTTTATACGCTTGTTGGAGCACTTCACTGCTTGTGAAAAAGTGAGGCATGATCTCATATATTGGGGGCAGCACAATGTTCCTTGTAAGCGGGGAATGTGCGACAGCTGCGTACATAGCATAAACAAACTCTTCCTCGTTCATTCTTTGACGGAAGTATGCAGCATAGCTGGTGAATATTGTCCAGTCTTGGCACTGCATGAGGACATTAGCGAGCATCATGGCTTGTTCTCGCTGAGTGCAATTGAACACCGAGAAGAAATCTCCTCTCTCCTCAAGGTGGTGATCCTTGAGTTCCTTCATGAGTTTGAGAACAGCAACCCCGCCGTCAGGAAAGTTAGATGCTTTGGCCTCTGGATTAAAGTTATCAGCAAGATCCTTGAGTTTGGTATCATGCAGAGGCTCGTACACCTTGTAGAATAGGAAGTTGATGTCGTGCTGCTTCTGTGCCAAAGTTACTTCTGAAGAAAAACATATGCTTGTATCAATCACCGCCATTTAAGAATAGATAATAATATTAGTAAAGTCGTTATGCACACTGGCATATTCAGTGATGAACTCGATGTCATAACGCAAGAATAATGCAACATTCATAATATTTTATACGTTGATGTTACAATTTTGCGTCATGTCAATATTAAGCTTTTCGTTTAATTTATTTTATTCACAAATAAGTGTTATTTGTGTAGGTGAACCTTTCATAAAACAGTATTTCATTAAACATTGCGATGATTTCATCACCTTGGGTATTAGGGACCTCGAACACCCGTGACACGAGAGGCGGATGCTCTACCGACTATGGGTTAGCCTTAATAAGAGCAGTGTAGTTGTATAAATTATATACAGTTTATATGACTTAGGACGTGGCATTCCTAATCCTTCTTTGCTTGAGTGGTAGCCACGATAATTAGCAGTTCCCATGTGGGCTGCAGTTAGTTACCTTGGGAATTTTCTCATATTAAGGGTAACCTATAGTTCAGTGGGTGGAGCGTCCGCCTCCCATCTCGTAGGTCAGGTGTTCGAGGCTCCTAGTGCCCAACGTGGATGAAATGTTACATCCACGGTAGTGTTGAACGCAGTTTAAAACGATGATGTTTTTGAGAAATAATTTGTTTATAAGACCAGAATCGTACAAACTTCTGTATTAATTGGTTGGAGAAGTAAAAATATGTAAAGTAAAGAAGCTCAAACTTAGATTACAATTTATAAAGACCTTAACTTTGCACCTTAATTAAAGGAGAAATATAAATATTGGGTTTGAATTATAAAGCGTAAATCAAATATATATATTCTTGATCTGCGTGTCATAGGTCATGAACCCAAGTGTATTAATCTGAAGTGCTGCTGATTTGAACGGTTTCAATAGTGAGATTTTACGAACACACAACTTTTAATAAGTGCGATACACGATTTAATCTATGTGAGACTGTGTGATCGTATTGGCTCTTAAACGGCTCTGCTGATTTGATTAACACTAAACAATTGATTAACTATAGTACTCGTAGGAAAATTGAAATGGTAGTTTAATGGAGGGCAATATTATTATTTTACTTAAATGTTGAGACTCTATTGTATCGATTTCGATGAAATTTGACGTAAAGGAGTTTGAAATGTTCTCGAGTTCTCCTAAGCTACTTTGAGATCATGGATTTTGAGAGGGTAAATTTTGTTTTATTCAAAATCTTGTAATTTGAATCACATATATAAGAAAAAAATAAAATAAATAACAAATACAAAATTGGAATCATATATGAAAGAAAATTATATAGATGTTATCATATTTATAAAAAATGGCAAATCACTAATTGCTATGACATTGTGGTACAATGTCAAGTGATACTTTTGCTTATATGAAAAGTGGTACTTTTGCTGTGGAATCGGAGAACAGTTACTGAGAGTGATAATTAATTATTATCAAATTACTATTTAAAAGCTCAATGATCGTGTTTCATTTTTCTCATTATTTGGTTCCCCAGACCCCAAAGAGGCTTTGTACCTCCAGTTAATAACCTCTGTTTTAAAAAATATTGAGGATGTATCTAGTTCAAATTCAGATTTGATAAAAGGAATTTGTGCTATAATTTACTGACATTAATTAAGTGTATTACACGCATACTTTCAGAAAAGAATTCTGTTAATTAAATGTTCAAGTTGAATGAGAGTCTCGTTGATATAATCATATTTTCCAAGTTATGGTGTTCAGTAATTTTCATGAAGAATATGTCAACAAAATAAGTTAAACAGAATAATAAATAAAATAATAATTGTTCAATAATTTATAATATAATTATTATAAATTGTTAAAATACTATTGCTGAAGTACAAAATCTCATCATTAGTAATTTTCCAGAAGATATTTCTACTTATCGACACACATACGGGTTACAGCACTGGAATTCGGCGTCAGGTAATATAGTACAAAAATGATGAATTGCTTAAGAAGATGGCCGTGAAATAACGAAATTAAACAAAGAATGATGTTTAATCGGCTTAATAAAATCCTGTATCTAAAATGAGAGCTGAGTATTAGTATTGACAAGGCTGAAGTCGAAATATAGAACTCACCATCAGGTTCATCTCCCATGTAACCATAGAGATGTGGAGAGGCGGAGGCCGCAGCCACCAGTGCGAACACCACCAAGACCTTCATGGTGCTGATGCCCAAACACCTCTCACGGCGCCTTATATACCCCCCTGGCGCGCCGCGCCCCCACACCCACCCTAATCACGCCCAGGAGACCCAGCAACACCCACCCACCTCACCCACCTCCACCCTGGTCACGCCTAACCCCACCCACCCAATGTGATAACAGTTGCAGGGGGCAGAGTGATCTTGACCTTCTGCATCTTCTGGCGTTGCTGGCCTCGTGACAGCTTAGTCTTATATTGGTCTGAAACGTTCTTCAGCGCTGGAGGGATATATCACATATCAACATATATGCAATATCAACTTTTTCCTTTTGTTCTTCACTTAAAACACATCTGATGTGGTATTTAGCTACAAATTACACATAAATTCTTGCAATACATAAATACAACTAACGTATTAGCTTCCTGAAACGATTATGTGCCTCTGTAAGCCTTTCTTCCACCGTCCTCGGGATGGGCATGGGGTGTATAATAAAGAAAGAAAAGAAAACAAAGCAGAGGGATTAAGTAGATTAGTAGAACAAGATTCAGTTATTTTATCATAAATCATTCACGACGTAACAAACGTAAGTGAATTATCTGCGAAGTAAAAATTAATAGTTATTTTGGCTTCTCAGGACGTTCGTGTCTTAATATATGT